TGGGGAAGAAGCTGTCGAGGAACGAAGAATGTAGGGGAGTTGGCTGCGGCAACGGTGCCACGGATGGCGGATTCAGTGCTGAGACGTTCTGGCTGAGCAGCGAGAGCAGCACATCGTTATTCTGCAGCTGCTGGATGAGCAACTGAGTGTTCAGCAGTTGTTGCGACAGGAGATTAGGAAGTGGAAGCAGTTGTGGATTCAAGCCACTGTCTACCAGACCTGAAAACGGAAAGATACTTAGTTTTTTATACTAGTGAAGGAGAACAAATAATTTTACCTTTCAGTGCTGCCATTCCGTGATCCAGCACTGGTTCAACGGGCTTTGCATATGACGGAGGATAGAAAGCCGAAAATGCTTCTGGCATTGCGACTTCAGGATGAGTCGGCGGTTTGGAAGCCACCAATGGTCCAAAGTCTGGAGGAGTTGGCTGCAAAAGTGGCTTATTAGAGCAGCAAGCAGAGAACCTCGGCAAACAGCAGGTACACACCTCGAGGGTGCGGAAAGGCACTGAAGTTGGAGAGGTGCTGATCGTGGTTGTCGACTGAATTCCATAGGAAGATGTTGGAAGTTTGCTAAGGATGTCGGGAACACTCCAGTGGCTGTAGCTGGGCATCGTAACAGCGGTAGCGGCGCTCACTGGAGGAGAATTGGTCTGAAAAACACCTTTTTGCCAATTTTCGAAGTGAGTCTACTCTCAGGAAAGCAGGAACGTCCAAGATCACCCATTTCAAATGACCGATTTCATTAGAGAAGCCGAAATATCATATTCATCACATCAGCTGGAAAGCCTTGATTCAACAGGGCTCGAAATTCAAAATTCAATCTTCACTTGGTTCTAGAACGCCGGTTTCCAGAGGTCTCCCCAAAGTTCAGTACCAATGTGTACTCTATGACCTGCGCCAATGTCATTTATCAATTTTAGCTCCCATACGCTAGATATTTTGGCAAATCTCATTATTAAAGGCGAATGTTGCGATAAATTGGAGGTCGAAGAATCGGGAAAATGCCCACTAAGAACAGGTGCATAACCTTCATGGGAAAGGAGCAAGGCGTGCTTTGCTGGCTTGTTGCTCGTCCATTCTCGCAGTGGTGAATTCTATTCTCGGCTGTCCACTCCCATCGACCAACTAACCCCTCGCTATCTGACCCTAGCCGTCTTGGCAGGTGAGCATTCACGTTGACATCTGCACCGAAAAGACTCGCCCCAAGGCCGAATCCAAGGAGGGAAAAGAGTCTTACGAAGTGACTTTTAGAACGATTCTCCAAGTTTTAAGTCACAGCTCCACTTCTTACCGGCTCTGTTTTCGCTCCCAGAAGGCGACAGTCATAACATTTGCTTTTACGCGAGCTTTCTCGGTTCATCCTTATTACTGTTTAAAGGGATAAAATGATCCTGAGCTGAAATATTTGGCCCGCTTTACGAGCTTAGTTAGGGTACTGATATTCAGTAAAAACCTTGAAACTTCCACGAAGCCATGGTGAATCCCAAATCAGTGAAGCTTGCTACCAATTTCAAGGGATCAGCGTCAACACCTGTGGCACTCACTTGCATAGATGTTCGGCAGCGAGAAGTCGACCTTGCGAGCGCTGTCCGAGCTGTCCGAGTCGGTGTCCACGTTCACCGGGCTCTCCGACTGCCGCCCTGCTTGATAGGGCTCACACTGTTCCAAGTGGATCTTCAGACCGACTTTCTGAGCGTAACTCTTGCCACAAGCGGTGCATGAATATCTGCAATTGATCACTGATTATCCTTTCTTGTCCCTTCCACCTTTGCAACTCACGGTTTTTCGCCAGTGTGCACTCGTTGATGCACCTGCATGTTTCCTTGATTAGTGAAACACTTATCACAGAACTGGCATCTGTAAAACTATACGTAGTAAACGGTCTAAAAGTGGTAGAGAAAACGGAGAATTCACAACTTTTTCTTCAATGAAGCTTTTTCCGTTCTACATTACATCTCGCGTCATATTTTTCTTTCTAGGCTGCCAAGAGAGGGGGGGGGGGCAAGATTGTCTGTCGCAGCTGCTGACATATCTTTTTCGTGTTTCTATTGAGAATTAAAGGAATCTTCCACGGACCATGGACCAGTGGGCGGGACCGGAAGTGGTTTTGCGACGAAATGCATGGTAGGTACGGATCCACGTTCATGGGAAGGTTTGAAGTGAATCCTGTTCACGTTCGTGCGTTC